AGTCGAGTGCGCTCGGCCAAGTTTGCTAGGCGCGCGTCTTCCAAGGCACGAACCTCGAGGGTTTCTCCAATGATAGGAGTGTGCAGTGCATCCATGTTCTGGCGGCGAAGTTCTTCTCTCTGCAGCGACGTGAGAGGCTCGGGAAGATATTCCTCATGGGGACGCGACGGGTCGCCTCCACCCGCGCCTCCGTCGGTGCGGGGAAAACCGGGAGGATTGGGCGGTCCATCGACCATCAGAACCTCCGCCGCCGGATCGCTGTTGTCGCACTCGGATGCGGTCTCTACGGAGCCAATCGAACAGGCCGTAGAGGGATTCGTCGGGCTCGATCGCCGCGACTTGAGGGGTGGCCGACTGGCGTGCCACCGCGTGTCTCACCCACCGCTGAAGTCTCGACCGACCGGAGTGCTTGCACCGGCGGGAAACAGGGAGGGAGGACAACACAGGAGCCGACTAGTAGGGGGTCGACAGTTGCCGCAGGAGAACGCCGTGGACGCACGCGCTAAAGTGTGTTGCCCCGCGGACAGGGAGTGCGTCCACGTCGAGCGGAGCCTCCTGAAGCCAAGCGGAGTCGTCGGCGATGAACGTGAGCGCGTCGAGACGGATCTCGCGGTCCTCCACCAAAACTCCGCCGAAAACCATGATGATTCGGGTCAAAAAAGATCGCAACTCCTCCAACAAAACGCTAAAACACCCGCCCCACGGTGGGCGCCAACTGTCATGGTTCTAAGTCTGACAGTAGTGTAGGGGGGTAAGTATGGAGAGGCAAGATCTTAGGTATGGAGAAGTTGTAAGCACGCAAGGTTTACGAGTTGAGGCCCTTCTCGAAGGAAGTAATAGCCCTACGTCTCGGAGCCCAGAGGCGGTCGACTGGATTATGCGTGTATGAATTACAGGGGTGTGAACCCTTGTCTCGGAGGAGGGGGTGGCTTATATAGAGTGCGCCAGGACCCCAGCCAGCCCACGTTACAAAGGGTTCAATGTACATTAAGGCAGGGCGTTACTGGTAACGCTAGTAATAAAGTGCTATGATGACCATAAAAGCTACTTAATAATCGACAGTTAGCATGCGGAGCGCCTTTAGGTCTCCTGACTGTCGAGTGGCTTGGTCTTGGTCGAGTGGTTGCTTCTTGGTCGAGTATCTTCGAGTCTGTCGAGTGGAACACCTCCAAGTCGATTGAAAGATGATTTCTTCTAGAGATGTCCTTGGGTAGGTCAGTTTGGATAGGTCCATGCCCCTACCCTAGGTACATAGCTTCATCAGGGGGGTGTTAGAGTTATATTAAGTGATGTCTTTTGGCCTTTTGCATTCTAGTCTCTTGGCATCCTCTTGTAGCCTTTTGGCATCCTCATATATGTGTATATATGTTGGGGTTGGCCTCCTAATAATATAAGTTGCTATTCTCAACAGCTACTACAGTTCAGAGATTCTCTTGCAGTGAAGAGATGCTGTCTCGGTGTGTTGATATTGCTACTATAGTTCAGAGATTCTCTTGCGGTGAAGAGATGTTGTCTCGGGGTGTTGCGTGGGTTGTTCCCTTCATATATGGTATAGTATATGTTTCCTTCCGTGTTAGGCAACGATCCTTGAATTACATGAAGTGGTGGTGAGATAACACTGTGGTTTTAGACCAAAAGTGTGCTAATTCAGAATGTGCATCAACATGTGACATCATTACTTGGCCCACGCCCAAACGTGTGACGTCATTACTTGCATAAATACATGCTTACCACATCGTGGGAGTCACCGCTTGACACACGGTGGAACGCATGAAGTGAATGAGGCAACTCTAAGGGAGCAATGGGTTCACACGGACCTTCTTTTGGAGCTTTCATCCTCAAAATTAGATGCCAGCTGAAACATTAAAGTGGGCTTCAGATTAGTACCTTGCGCATGCATGAAATACACATATGAAGCATGAGGAGATAAAATTAGCACTGAAGCATATACGTTGTTGTTAATGTTGACAAGGTAACCATCTTAAAAATCTTTCGAGCAAGCCTTACATGCATCAAATAAATTGAATAAGAAAATATTAAAGCGGCACCTATCAATTTTAATCTCTTTTGCATGCTTCACAAGCCCAAGGAATATTTTTACAGCCTCTTGATCTGTAGAAGGATTCTTCTTTCCCTGCGATGTAGAATTCAGGATAAGTAATAATACTTCCCTACATACAGAAGTGTGAAAGAAAGAGCTAAATTTGTCAGCCGATAGCATTGGCATCCAACCTGCAAGAAACCAACAGACATTAAAGAACTTCTACATGTACCGCAGTTTAAAGTTTAAACCAAATAAAACAGTAAAACATAACGGCTTCACGCCATGCACAGTACTAGTTCATGCATTGGCACAGACTTCAGTTGAATCACCTCTTTTCTGCTACCTTTCACCATGGAGAATAAAGAAACATGATTTGGCTTTTAATGGTTGGAGCAAACTTGAGGCATAAAAAATGAATGAAATTTGTTTTACATGCATACTGTACACACTAGTTGATCACCTACCCATCCAAATGAAAATGGAAGGTTGTTTCCAGTTCCCAGAGGTACGGTGGCAATTGGAGGTGGGTGGGAAAGCTTAAGATCACTGACGACCCCAAGCAACCAACTCGCTGTACCATCGCCACCTGCAACCTATCCAAATCTATTCAGTCAAGAGCATGAAATGGAAAGCCAAGAAAGGCATCATCTTCGCATAATATAACTTGAAGATGGTATCACTTACAATTAATCTCATAGTCCTCCAAATTTGAACGGCAAGAATGTCACCTTCAATCTTGAGCCTTTCAACATTCACATATAAACGGTGCAGAACCTTATCCGGAGTCTCTTCTGAGAGATCAATAACCTGAAAAAGAACTCGGTGGCTCTGACAACAATTCCAAATTCAAAATCCAAAGACAGAAAAAGTACCTGTGCTTCACTCAGAAGTTCACGGTATGTTTTGATCAAACTACTTCCAAGTTGACCGCCAGATTTAGAATTGATGAACACTATTACAGGACACTGTGGAGCATGATCAACAAGTACTTGTTGGGCATCTGGTCTCAAGACGTAATCTGGAATGCGGTACTCCTCCAAAGGCCCACATGGCTTCAAATCTCTAGGGGTTTCTATCTCCTCTTCCATCCTGCAGAATAGGTGCACACATTTTAATGGTTTAGTTTAACTCAGCAAACTACAATGTCAATGTATAATGATATTTGTTGTATTTAGCATCACATAGAAAACGAATCAAACATATTGACGTCGAAGAGGGTAAATAAAACCCCAAGGGCATAATGGAAAGGGGAATTGAGTTAACCATGAAATAAAAACCTAGGTAAGGCCTTAAATTATCCGCGATCATGAGATTTATGTTTCTTTAGTTCCTCCAAAAGAATAGGAAATTTCAATATTATGTAAGAATTAGAAATCCACTAGATCTTATATTATGTAAGAATTAGCAATCAACCAGAACTATATTGATATAAGAAACATGAGTGTGGGAGATCTGGAGCATTTCGGTCTTCCATCTTCCTAATCTTCAAGTATCACGTAAGATTATAATCCTAAAACTCCCTCCATAAACTAATATAAAAGCGTTTAGAATACTTAAATAATAATCTAAACGCTCTTATATTAGTTTACAGAGGGAGTATCATATAATAATTAAAAATCATAAGAGGGGGACATTCCACCCTTTTTCTTAGGAAAAGCATAAATAATATGCAGCAAGATATGCAATAATCTTGTCACAACATTGCAGATGAAGATAACCCATTTAACATGCAGATAACAATCGGTGCTTCAAAATGAAAATATGCAATTCTGATTGTTGCTAGAGTGTAGTGTATTTAACGTTGGTTTTTGTACGATCGTTCCATAAATCAATAATAATACAGCCTTAACCTGTGTATACAAAAGAAGCCAAAACTAGGCTGCAACTTGTTGGTTTACCTGATTAATTAACATGTGTAATCAACGCGCCCGGACCTCAAGAACAAAAATAATAACCATTTTTTCTCAAGAACACGGATGCATGCATGCATCTATCACTGCGAAATCACTCACCAAACGGCTATACAGAAGGTATTCTGATCACCAAGGTGCTCGCTAAACAGGGAATTCCCGAATCATGATGCCTAGATAAGAGTAATTTAGCGCGCGCCGCGTCGGCCGTGTGATTGCGTACCTGAGATCCCGAGGTGCGCCCTGTACGGACTCCGCGCGGCCGAGATCTAGGGCGTGTGTGGTTGATCCGATGCTCCGATTTGGTGGGGAATGAATTGGAGCAGGACGAGTGGTATGGTGGGAGAGCGATGAAGAGGGAGGATCGGAGGCGCTCCCGTTCTGGATTCACCCGCTCTTTCTCAATCGTTTTGGGCCAACCTGTGTAC